CTAACCCTAACCCTAACCCTAACCCTAACCCTAACCCTAACCCTAACCCTAACACTTACAGAGCTGAATTCAAAAAAAGGAATGAATGGTAATCTTTTTCTGTTAGGGTTAGGGTCAGCTTTCAATTCTTTAGCTCTTCCCATTATTCAAATCTCCTCTTGCATCACTTTATCTCCATAAGGCAGACAAGAAGCCATACGCTTTTTCTTATCTTTCAGATTCCCCGCACAGTATGATAATAGTATGATTCTCTCTCTCTAAAGCATAGTGGGGCTCATTTAGAGTCTCCGTATAGTGTGATAGTAGTATGAGTCTCTCTCTCGGACGCATAAAGGAACCACTCCCTTCATCTTGCTAGAGAATGAGTGTGCCCAATTAAATCTTCCCTAGTATTTTTGGTTTTGCTATAGGGTCCATGTGCCCAAATGATACCTCCGTAGTATCGCCTTTCCCTGAGAAGAGCCTGGAAGGTCCTACTCTTTGATACTCTTCGAAGAAATTCCACCGCTTCTTCATTTTAACTTCTTTTGAACCTGAGGAAAATTCACCGCTTCTTCGTCGTAACTTCCTTTGAATCTGAGGAATCTCCTTCAATTGGTCAATTCCTCCTCTGAGAGACTTGAAAGGAGTTGGTTTTGAACTTCTCCGCGACCCACTGGCATACACTTATCCGTAGGTCCAGATGGAACCTTGAGCCACCGCGGCGGCAAGGTTCTGTGCATGAGGGGTGGGAAAGTTGACGAGAATGCGTCAGATCGAGCGTCGGATGGCAAGCCTGGACAAAACATGGACACACTGTTAGACCAACATCGAAGACAGGGACATGATGCACCCTGTGAAATGGCCTGCATGCATGCACGTACCGTGCCATCGGACGAGGACGCGATCGCCCACCAGGTATGTGTGCCAGCGCCTGTTTGCTCCGTCCAGGTGACGCCCGCGTCGGCGGATGTATAGATGGGGCCATTATACACCACGGCAGCAAGTTTCTGTGCATGACGGGATTGATAGTCGACCAGGGTGCGTGAAATCGAGCATCGCATGGCGTTGGTTGACGAGACATGCACACACGATGGGATCCTGATCGATTAGAGGGGCAGAATGCACCTTCTATAATGGCCCGCATCCACACACGTACCGTGCCATCCGACGAGGAAGCGATGGCCTGCCAGTCACGTGAACCAGGGTCGGTTTGCTCCGTCCAGCTGACGCCCGCATCGGTCGACGTCCAGATGGAGCCCTGGTAGACCATAGCGGCAAGGTTCTATCCACGACGGGGTGGGTAGTCGACAGGGATAAATCAGATCGAGCATCGGATGGCAACCCTGGAACAGACATGCACACACGGTGGGACCATGATCGAAGTCCGAAGTACGATGCTTCTTTGTAATGGTTTACATCCATATACGTACCATGCCATCGGATGAGGATGCGATCGAGATCCAGTTACGGGAACCAGCGGCGGTTTGCTCCGTCCAGGTGACGCCCGCGTCTGTCGACGTCCCAATGGGGCCGTCATACACCACAACGGCAAGTTTCTGTACATTACGGGGTAGATAGTCGAATAGGATGCATCGGCTCGAGCACGCCATGGCAAGTCTGGATGACACGTGCACGGACGATGGGACTACCATCGAAGACAGAAGCACGATGCTTCTTTGTAATGACTTGCATTCATACACGTACCATGCCATCGGACGAGGACGCGATCGAGTAATAGTCACGGAAACCAGCGTCAGCTCGCTCTGTCCAGGTGACGCCCCCGTCGGTTGACGTCGAGATGTAGCCGGAATAGACCACGGCGGCAAGTTTCTGTGGATAACGGGATGGGTAGTCGACCAGGATGCGTCAGATCGAGCATCGCAGGGGATCCTGGACGAGACATTCTTGCACGATGGGACAACCATCGAGGGCAGGGCCCCGGTGTATATTGTGTAATGGCATTTATTACAAGCACGTACCGTGCCATCCGACGAGGACGCGATGAACTGCCAGTTACTGGAACCAGCGGCGGTTCGCTCTGTCCAGGTGGCGCCCGCGTCGGTCGATGTCCAGATGAAGCCTCCATTAACTATGGCGGCGAGGTTCTGTGCGTGACGGGATGAGTAGTGCGTGAAATGGAGCGGTGACCCTGGACGAGACATGCACACACGATGGGACCAGCATGGAAGACTGGGGCATTGTGCACCTTGTGCAAAGACCTCCATCCAAGCACGTACCATGCCATCAGATGACGACGCGATCGCGTACCAATCACGCGAACCAGCGGCGGTTCGCTGGGTCCAGGTGACGCCCGCGTCGGTCGATGTCGAGATGTTGCCTGTAAACGCCACAGCGGCAAGTTTCTGTACATGACGGGATGAGTAGTCGACCAGGATGCGTCAGATCGAGCGTAGCTTAAGGACCCTGGAAGAGACATGCACGCACGATGGAACCATCATCGAAGAGAGGGGCATGATGACCCTTGTCAAATGGCCTGCATCCACATACGTACCATGCCATCCGACGAGGACGCGATTGACCTCCAGTCATATGAACCAGCAGCTGTTTGCTCCGTCCAGGAGTTGGTCGGAGCCGCCGTGGGCTGCATCGT